CCGAGTTCAGTGATAAATGAGTATTTAAATATATTAGCTTGTCTTCAGAGACGTTAATGAAGGTGCAAACTTTAAAAACTCTTATCACATATATTTGCTAAACACTACGAAAAGAAAATATTTCGTAAGAACCTTCGTGCACTGTAAATAAAATTAACAGAATATCTCTTTCGTATTCTGAGAATCAGGAAACTTTGAAAAGAATGATGTTACCCTTTCATTTTAATTATGTAAAAGAGGGCAAGACAGTATGTAAAAATTAGAGAGTGGCGGAAGCTTGTTGCACTGTCAAGTAGTGTTGCACTGTCAAGTAGTGTTGCACTGTCAAGTAGTGTTGCACTGTCATGTAGTGTTGCACTGTCAAGTAGTGTTGCACTGTCAAGTAGTGTTGCACTGTCATGTAGTGTTGCACTGTCAAGTAGTGTTACAATGTTAAGCACTGTTGCCCTGTCAAGTAGTGTTGCACTGTCAAGTAGTGTTGCACTGTCCAGTAGTGTTGCACTGTCCAGTAGTGTTGCACTGTCACGTAGTGTTGTTTTGTCAAGTGGTGTTGCACTGTCCAGTAGTGTTGCACTGTCAAGTAGTGTTGCACTGTCCAGTAGTGTTGCACTGTCAAGTAGTGTTGCACTGTCACGTAGTGCTGTTTTGTCAAGTGGTGTTGAACTGTCAAGTAGTGTTGCACTGTCAAGTAGTGTTGCACTGTCAAGCAGTGTTGCACTGTCAAGCAGTGTTGCACTGTCAAGCAGTGTTGCACTGTCAAGCAGTGTTGCACTGTCCAGTAGTGTTGCACTGTCAGTGTTGCACTGTCAAGTAGTGTTGCACTGTCACGTAGTGTTGTTTTGTCAAGTGGTGTTGCACTGTCAAGTAGTGTTGCACTGTCAAGTAGTGGTGCACTGTCACGTAGTGTTGTTTTGTCAAGTGGTGTTGCAGTGTCAGTGTTGCACTGTCAAGTAGTGTTGCACTGTCAAGTAGTGTTGCACTGTCAAGCAGTGTTGCACTGTCAAGTAGTGTTGCACTGTCAAGCAGTGTTGCACTGTCAAGCAGTGTTGCACTGTCAAGTAGTGTTGCACTGTCAAGCAGTGTTGCATTGTCAAGTAGTGTTGCACTGTCAAGCAGTGTTGCACTGTCTGGTGTTGCACTGTCAAGAAGTGTTGCACTGTCAAGTAGTGTTGCACTGTCAAGCAGTGTTGCACTGTCAAGTAGTGTTGCACTGTCAAGCAGTGTTACACTGTCAAGTAGTGTTGCACTGTCAAGCAGTGTTGCATTGTCAAGTAGTGTTGCACTGTCAATCAGTGTTGCACTGTCTGGTGTTGCACTGTAAAGTAGTGTTGCACTGTCAAGTAGTGTTGCACTGTCAAGCAGTGTTGCACTGTCAAGTAGTGGTGCACTGTCAAGCAGTGTTGCACTGTCAAGCAGTGTTGCACTGTCAAGTAGTGTTGCACTGTCAAGCAGTGTTGCATTGTCAAGTAATGTTGCACTGTCAAGCAGTGTTGCACTGTCTGGTGTTGCACTGTCAAGTAGTGTTGCACTGTCAAGTAGTGTTGCACTGTCAAGCAGTGTTGCACTGTCAAGTAGTGTTGCACTGTCAAGTAGTGTTGCACTGTCAAGCAGTGTTGCATTGTCAAGTAGTGTTGCACTGTCAAGCAGTGTTGCACTGTCTGGTGTTGCACTGTCAAGTAGTGTTGCACTGTCAAGCAGTGTTGCACTGTCAAGTAGTGTTGCACTGTCAAGCAGTGTTGCACTGTCAAGTAGTGTTGCACTGTCAAGCAGTGTTGCACTGTCAAGTAGTGTTGCACTGTCAAGCAGTGTTGCACTGTCAAGTAGTGTTGCATTGTCAAGCAGTGTTGCACTGTCTAGTGTTGCACTGTCAAGCAGTGTTGCACTGTCAAGTAGTGTTGCACTGTCAAGTAGTGTTGCACTGTCAAGTAGTGTTGCACTGTCAAGTAGTGTTGCACTGTCAAGTAGTGTTGCACTGTCAAGCAGTGTTGCACTGTCAAGTAGCGTTGCACTGTCAAGCAGTGTTGCACTGTCAAGCAGTGTTGCACTGTCAAGTGGTGTTGCACTGTCAAGTGGTGTTGCACTGTCAAGCAGTGTTGCACTGTCTAGTGTTGCACTGTCAAGTAGTGTTGCACTGTCAAGTAGTGTTGCATTGTCAAGTAGTGTTGCACTGTCAAGTAGTGTTGCATTAAGTACTGTTGTCCTGTCAAGTAGTGTTGCACTGTCAATTAGTGTTGCACTGCCAAGTAGTGTTTCACTGTCAAGTAGTGTTGCACTGTCACTTAGTGTTGTTTTGTCAAGTGGTGTTGCACTGTCAAGCAGTGTTGCACTGTCAAATAGTGTTGCACTGTCAAGCAGTGTTGCACTGTCAAGCAGTGTTACAATGTCAAGTAGTGTTGCACTCAAGTAGTGTTGCACTGTCAAGTAGTGTTACAGTGTCAAGTAGTGTTGCACTGTCAAGTAGTGTTGCACTGTCAAGTAGTGTTGCACTGTTAAGTAGTTTTGCAATAAGCACTGTTGCCCTGTCAAGTAGTGTTGCACTGTCAATTAGTGTTGCACTGCCAAGTAGTGTTGCACTGTCAAGTAGTGTTGCACTGTCACTTAGTGTTGTTTTGTCAAGTGGTGTTGCACTGTCAAGCAGTGTTGCACTGTCAAATAGTGTTGCACTGTCAAGCAGTGTTGCACTGTCAAGCAGTGTTGCACTTTCACGCAGTGTTTTGTCAAGTGGTGTTGCACTGTCAAGCAGTGTTGCACTGTCAAGCAGTGTTGCACTTTCACGCAGTGTTTTGTCAAGTGGTGTTGCACTGTCAAGCAGTGTTGCACTGTCAAGTAGTGTTGCACTGTCAAGTAGTGTTGCACTGTCAAGTAGTGTTGCACTGTCACGTAGTGTTGTTTTGTCAAGTGGTGTTGCACTGTCAAGCAGTGCTGCACTGTCAAGTAGTGTTGCACTGTCAAGTAGTGTTGCACTGTCAAGTAGTGTTACAGTGTCAAGTAGTGTTGCACTGTCAAGTAGTGTTGCACTGTCAAGTAGTGTTGCACTGTTAAGTAGTTTTGCAATAAGCACTGTTGCCCTGTCAAGTAGTGCTGCACTGTAAAGTAGTGTTGCACTGCCAAGTAGTGTTGCACTGTCACGTAGTGTTGTTTTGTCAAGTGGTGTTGCACTGTTGCACTGTCAAGTAGTGTTGCACTGTCAAGTAGTGTTGCACTGTCAAGTAGTGTTGCACTGTCAAGCAGTGTTGCACTGTCAAGCAGTGTTGTTTTGTCAAGTGGTGTTGCACTGTCAAGCAGTGTTGCATTGTCAAGTAGTGTTGCACTGTCAAGTAGTGTTGCACTATCAAGTAGTGTTGCACTGTCAAGTAGTGTTGCACTGTCAAGGAGTGTTGCACTGTCAAGTAGTGTTGAACTGTCACGTAGTGTTGTTTTGTCAAGTGGTGTTGCACTGTCAAGCAGTGTTGCACTGTCAAGGAGTGTTGCACTGTCAAGGAGTGTTGCACTGTCAAGTAGTGTTGAACTGTCAAGCAGTGTTGCACTGTCAAGTAGTGTTGCACTGTTAAGTAGTGTTGCACTGTCATGCAGTGTTGCACTGTCAAGTAGTGTTGAACTGTCAAGCAGTGTTGCACTGTCAAGTAGTGTTGAACTGTCAAGTAGTGTTGCACTGTCAAGTGGTGTTGCACTGTCAAGTAGTGTTGCACTGTCAAGCAGTGTTGCACTGTCAAGTAGTGTTGCACTGTCAAGTAGTGTTGCACTGTCAAGTAGTGTTGCACTGTCAAGTAGTGTTGCACTGTCAAGTGGTGTTGCACTGTCAAGTAGTGTTGCACTGTCAAGTGGTGTTGCACTGTCAAGTAGTGTTGCACTGTCAAGTAGTGTTGCACTGTCAAGTAGTGTTGCACTGTCAAGTAGTGTTGCACTGTCAAGTAGTGTTGCACTGTCAAGTAGTGTTGCACTGTCAAGTAGTGTTGCACTGTCAAGTGGTGTTGCACTGTCAAGTAGTGTTGCACTGTCAAGTAGTGTTGCACTGTCAAGTGGTGTTGCACTGTCAAGTAGTGTTGCACTGTCAAGTGGTGTTGCACTGTCAAGTAGTGTTGCACTGTCAAGTAGTGTTGCACTGTCAAGTAGTGTTGCACTGTCAAGCAGTGTTGCACTGTCAAGTAGTGTTGCACTGTCAAGTAGTGTTTTCACTGTCAAGTGGTGTTGCACTGTCAAGTAGTGTTGCACTGTCAAGTGGTGTTGCACTGTCAAGTAGTGTTGCACTGTCAAGTAGTGTTGCACTGTCAAGTAGTGTTGCACTGTCAAGCAGTGTTGCACTGTCAAGTAGTGTTGCACTGTCAAGTAGTGTTGCACTGTCAAGTAGTGTTGCACTCTCAAGCAGTGTTGCACTGTCAAGTAGTGTTGCACTGTCAAGTAGTGTTGCACTGTCAAGTAGTGTTGCACTGTCAAGCAGTGTTGCACTGTCAAGTAGTGTTGCACTGTCAAGTAGTGTTTCAGGATAAATAACAAAAACGTACGGAAGTAGTCATTTCTCCTTCAGTACAGTTACGTCAAGGTCATCTATGTCAATACGATTTATTGCATGAAATAAAAATACGGTAATGAAATAGAGAATTTTTTTTAGGGATAAAGAGCAAAGAAAAAAATTCACAATTATTATTGACGTCCCATATTTTTCAGTGACTGGAAAAAAAACAAAATTCTATAAAAATAATAAAATACTTCCATTATAGCAGTCGAATCCCATTACCGTCAACTATTTTCAACTGTTTCAACAATGCTAACGTAAATTAAGGAATAGTTTGTGCCTAAACATATTAAATATGAAATGTTAAGTTTTTATAGATTCAGTATATACAATATTAATTCATACAGAGGAGAATTAAATAAATATTTGCTGGTAAAACATTCGTTATTTAAAACTCAGTGATATCCTAACTCATGTCAGTTTAAGGTGCTATGAAGGATGCATGCAACCATGACTATTAGAAAACAATCCAAAAGTGAGGTTTGACTGCAGGATTTATAGTGAGATGTCACAGTCATGCAAAGATCTGTATCAGTCTTAGTATAAGTCTCCACTAGAGAGCAAGCTGCTGCCATCAGTGATAATGAGTAAGCTGTAAAACTTGGACAAGTGAGCAGAGGCTGAGAGTGGTGGCCGGGGTTCCTTACCCTCGGTGCCATGCTCATGGCTGCAGCCCCACGCTTCTCTTTATCCTCAACTTTGTGACCACCCTGTAAGCGTAACACACCATTGACCACTCTGTTCTTAAACTGAGTGTTTAATTCACGGGTTCTTAACCTCTTCTGTCCCTACTGATTTTCCAAATCCTAGAATATCATGCATGGACATCCTCCTCATTTGTAAAACATATTTACGAAAGAATTAAATAAAATTATAGGAATACGATCATTTGAAATATATATATATATATATATATATATATATATATATATATATATATATATATATATATATATATATATATATATATATATATATATATATATATATATATATTAATTTAGGCATGTTAGGCACCAAATCAAATTCATTGTACCATCAAAATATACATAAAAACTTTCCAGGGAAGTTTCTCAGACTCCTTGAACCTAACCCATGAACTCGAGGTTAAGAACCCCTGGTTTACACTAATCTCTAGCTATTTTTCAGTGTTTGCTAATTTTGCTATAATATGTGAATAAACCTGTAAGATAAGACAAAAATAAGGCTAACTTATTATATCCATTGGTATGATTAGTGTGTTTTACCAACTTAATGTTGTATTGTGCGTAAAGTACTTGGCAACATGGACAATTTATGCTGAGAAAAGTGCAACTGATTTTATGTGTGTCACTTAACAGACTTCTCTAGAGACTATAGTTGTAAATATGTTTGCTTGATTTTTATTTAAATTCTGAAACTATTTTCAAATGAATACTGAATCTCCCTGATTTAGCCTCAGATGTACATTCAGTATAGATGAATATATAATAGCCTCTTACTGTTTTTTTTTCTGAAAAAAAAGCTTCATACCGACGCCATCCAGAGGATTTGGAAACGATGATTTTTATTACCACAGCGTGCGAGTGTTCAGGAAGCGCGAGCGCGAGTTCGCATCAGATATATTCACAATCAGACACAGAATGATGGAGGAGCAAACGCAAATCTCTCAAACTTTCCAGGGGTATATGAAAGAGTGCTGTATGGGGGTGAACGTAAAGGTGAGGTAAATTAAGAGATGTGTGTTGTGTTGTTTTAAGAGATGTTGCTAGAGCTTGTTACGACCTCGTGCGCCGAGGTCGTAACAAATGGGGGCCAGTGGTTTAGTGAATTTACCACGCTGACACTCGCGATTATTCTAGATGAGGAATCATGAAAGCTGTGGAAGCGAACAAAATAAAGAAGACACTGGGTATCGCGAAATCACATAAAGATGGAATGTCTGCTGCTGTGTACGAACTCTCGACCTGGGAAGAACGAAACGCCTCCGGAGAAAACTGTAATCCTTAAATTGCATCGAGTTTTTGAAAAGTAGCTCCGAAGGTTACCTAGGATACCTAGTTCCTGTAGAACCGTATGAATTCAGAGAAGGTTTCGCCTATCAGCTCCAAATGTTATATAAGCTTAGGATTTTAGCAGAATCAGGCGAGTAAGAAAGTTGCTTTTCAGCGAAATGTAATACTGCCATGACATTCGAAAAATCAAAAGAAAGACTTTAAATTTTTACCATGGTTCATACTAGAATAGGTATAAAATGAGTTGTGGAATTATAGTGAACGTGATGAGTTAGTTTTAACAACAGGGAACTTGAAACCATGTGGAGTGGCCCAGTTACCTGTAAGATGCTTGATACAAATCAGCAGTCCGGACATTCGCAAACAATTGCAAAGACATACACATATAAGGATGACCAGATATTTGTGGAGAGAACCGAAGCGACTTCTGTAATATTTAACATAAATATGTAAAGTGTTAAGCAAGCATTCCCAGAAAGCTTTTATTCACGCGAATGCTGAAGTGTTTCTCGCATGGAAAATCTTGGACGAACAGAGGGAAGGTCTACATTATGGGCCTGATAAAATGTCATAATGCCAGGAGTGTCATAGGTTTTTCCTTGAAAGAAAAAATGGCGAAAATCGAGTATTTAGTCACGTAGGAATTGCGAGTGTATGAAATCGTAGCTGGTGTCGATAGCAGAGAGAGACTTTCGAAAACCGAATTGGTGATGGGAGAGGCAGTATTGGTCTCTATTACTATATGATGTATTTGTCCACCTTAGGTTCTAATAATTTACATACAGCGCGAGTAAGAGCTATAGGCCTATAATTAAATGGATCCTGTTATAAGATGCCTGATTTACGAAACGGGAGTAGTGCCGCAGTTCCTCACGTGGAGGTACAAAATATCTTTGGTCCAAGCAAAAACAACGGTTATAACTCTGACCATAATTTTTCAAGGGGTGGACCGGTAAGCCAGCGTAAGGCGTCGGTCAGATGACCAAAAGCTCCAACGGCGGATCGTCATCTAAGACCCGCGTCAGGAAACACTGGTCCTGTTTCCTAACGAACTTTACCTAACCTCTTTGATCCACATCTGACTGAAAATGTGTAAGAAAAAGGCATATGCTGCGGGATATTAGATTTTGCCGCCGACGCGGCTAATTTACTGTGCACCCCACATCCATCCTATAGAGGGCAGCGCAAGAGCATATGGATACACAAAAGACCTAGGAAATAGGACCCAAAAGGGTTTACAGGAGTACATCTGGATTTATATCTACAGTTCACTGATCTGTTACAAGCAAATTTAGTAAATCTGCCGGGGGATGCAAGTGTTGAAGAATGTGAACATCCTCAGGTCCAGCCACAGTATTAAGGCAAGTTCTCTAGATCTCAGCTGGGTGTTGTGTGGTTAGTGGGAATGCCGTGTGAAGTCGAGTGGGGGCGGACTCTTCGTTGAGGTTTTGGAGAAAAACAAGGGAGTAGAGTATGTGCAGTGGGAAATGGTGGCCTTTGGAAACACAAATACAGTGTTGCCCGATTTATGGATTTATTAGGTATTGATCCTCTTCAAGGGAAGTTCCTTGGCTTGGTGAAGAGGCTCTTGGTCTGAGGAATTAGACCTTTTGGTCTCCTTCCTCAGACCGAACCTAATTATCCCCCAATCCCCTCTTCCCAATCCCATCCTCCCCATTCCCCCTTTTCCCTTGCCTCCTACCCCCCTCCCTCCCCTTCCTGTTTTCAGCCTTTGGGATTCTTCCCACAGGCACTCTAGTTCTCAGGTAGGGTCCATGGTCCATCTCATTCCGTTGAGGTCCGTGATGGTGGTGTAGTTTGCAGTGGAATCTCATCACCTGGTCTACCAGGGGGTGGTTTTGGGTGTCTTTCGGGTGACATGTGTATCTCTGGAAGCTTCCTTTCGGATTCCAGGGTACGGTGGCTGAAGGAGGTATTCTTTGTGGCAGATATCCCGCCGCCCTCTCTTTTGTCCACCGAGGTGGCTTGATAGATGTGAGGTTGCTATCCCAGACGCTGGTTTACTGGCAAAAAGGGTAGGGTATGGCATAGGTTTCATGCCGTATCTGCACTACTTGGGGTGCTGGGGTCCTCTTGGGCACAGAGGGGGATTTACGGCCCTTTCATTCTTCCTAGGAGCTATCCCACCATGTTCCCCCCCCCTTTTTTTAAAAAAAAAAAAGCATAAAGAAAAAAGTGACATAACCATGTAGTCCCAAGTCCATGAAACAGCTCCCCCTGGGGCCCTATCTGCTACCACACCTTGCTCCAACCCTACCTCGTTATCCGAGCATTCTTCGAACATTTCTGAAGTACCTGTACCTCCTGCTGGTGCCGTTTTGTCACCCGCTCCAGGTACCGGGGTTCCGCCTGACTTCTTTGATACATCTGACCTCCACACTTCTCTGACCATGCTTCAGGCTTCTCCCTCCACAGTGCGGCGATTTTTGGATAGCCCACCCATCCCACGTCGGACCAACTCCGGTCCCAAACCTAAACGCCCAAGACCATTACCTGATGATACTCCTTCGCTTCCTTCTCGTTCTGCCCAGAAAAGACCGGCACAACATTCCCATCCCTTACACGTTAGGTTTCAAAATACACAATGGACTAAGTTTTTTACTCTGCGACCAACTTCTGAATATCTTTCCAATCTTAGTATTAGCAAGGCACTCCTATGCCATGTTGGTCGAGACATATCCTTTCATGCTCTCGAGAGCAGTGCACGCATCGTCACGGTACAGAATGCTAGCCAAGCTCGCAATCTCTCTCCTTACAACCATAGATGCTATTCCTGTAACTATTGAAAAACACCATTCTCTCAATTCTTGTAGTGGTACTGTCATTCTACCTCATACCATTTTCCAGACATACAGAATTTCCAGACATGCAGTGATGACATTCTGGAACAGCTTGATGCTTATGTCCTCCCTACCCACAGCTCGCTTAACTTTTTATTGCCGTGAGTTTCCGTCCTCGGTTTACATTGCGGGACACCTTTTACAAGTCCAAAAGGTAATCCCTTTGCTGCAACAGTGTAGAAATGGCTGGCGTTTTGGTCATCCAGCGAAATATTGCAGGTCCATGGCCGAGTGCCCAGTCTGTGGTGCCGATGACCATACCAATACGTCTTGCAGTCTGCCTCCCTCCTGCCTTGTCATGAGGCTCACCTATCTTACTCTTGCCATTACCTAGTTTACCTAAATGAGCGAGAAATCCGTTGTCTCAAATATGCAGAAGGCTTTCATTATGCTATGGCAGTCTCTAATCTATGCCTCCAGGGCAGACTTCCCCATATTTCTTATTCTCAAGTTATTAAACGACCCCTAACCTCTGGGGTCCCAACTTTCACAGCCTCCTCTGTGGTCACCACCCTTTCCAGTCACCCCTGTCTCTAATTCTTTTGCTGTCCTGGACTCGGAGGTCCCTCCCTCGACACCTCATTCTATTCTCACCTCTTCCTCTTTTCACTCACAAGTTTCTGTGTTTACAAGACCTAGTACAACAAATCCTCCCCATTGCCCCTCTACTTCTCCGAAGTCCAAAAAATCTCCATTGCTAAAATCTTCTCTAACCCCTCCTTCCCTTCTTCTATCTGCACATTTTTCCTTTCCAGTCTCTGTACTTGGTTCTCTACCTCTAACTGGCTCTGATACGAGTGTGGAGGTTCATCCTCCTTCTCATACAGTACCTTCTTCCCCTGTCCCCTCACAAGTTTTGTCCTCTTCTGCCCCCTCCCAGGTCGCATTCTCTCCTGTCCCCTCCCAAGCTTCTTCTCCAGTTCCCTCTACCCTTTCATCCCCCCGATCTTTACTCATCCTTCTCCTTCCATCTTCAATACCGTCCCACATACAATGTCCTTGTCCTCTGAAACACTTGAAACTATCTCCGAATATACTGAGGAGACTAGACCACTGATGGACACCAATCCACCTCCTGTTCCTCTTCATTCTTCTCCGTCTGCACAACTCCTTTCTTCGCAGCGTCCCAATCCTTTGGTGCTTGCGTGTTTTCCGCTGCCTCCACATGTGGACTTTTCTAACCCTTCTAGTCCGTAAATACCTCTTCCTTCAGATTTCTTTTATCTTCCTCTTCGCAAATCATGGCTTATTTACAGTGGAATATCTGTGGCCTCAGAGGTAACTGGGGTGAGCTTCAGGTGTTGCTCTCCCAGTTTTCCTATTTGTGTATGTTTACAAGAACCCAAATTATGCTCCACTGTTATCTCTCCCATCTCGGGCTGTTTTATATTCATCAGATCCCTTTCCCACACTGATATTCCATACCATCAATTCTTTGTTCATACTCTACTGCATTACACTGCAGCCTGCATCCACTTGAATAAGTGGTATATAATCTGTTCTTTGTATCTCCTTCTCGGGCATTATCTATCCCAGATGTTGCATTTTTGGTTTCTTCCTTACTGCCACCACTTCTGTTACTTGGCGATTTTAATGCTCACCACTGTGACCTTTATTCACATCCAACTGCTTTTAATGAGGATCCTTCTTCGTCCTCCATTGATGAGCTTTAACACCTCTTCTCAATCTCAGTTGTAACCGCAGCTTCATATTCTATACTCCAGACCTCAGGCAGGCATTCTCAGAAGTGCGTGCCTTGGAGGTCTCCTGCCTGTTCTCGGGCAGTAAATTTGAAACGCACTGCGTGGGGCAGGTACCATTACAACAAAACCACAGAGCGACTCCTTGATTTTCAGCAGAATTGTCGAATGGGGTTCAATCACGGATTAGGGAATAAACACACACGATGGTGGCTTGGGAACTTATATTAACAGTAAAATAAGGGGAACGCCAAGCCTGACCTGCCTCCTCTCTATCGTCTCGACTTGAACTGCCCTGCCGAGTGCCTGGAGGCGAGCGGCAATCAAATCATACCAGGTCAGCAGTAACGGTCAGTGATATAGTCAGTGATTCAAGCAGGGAGGCGGTGAATCAATAACGGTTACTATAAGTACAGTACCCAGTACTAACATGCTAGGGATATCTACACAAGTATATTACATAGGGAATCAGCAACACTACTGACATCAGGGGCTACATCTATGTCCCTCGTTATTTTTCCTCCAAGTCTGCCAGAGAGTTAGAGCCCTTAAACTTTTCTTCTATCAGAGAAGAATCTTATAATGTGCCTTTTACACTTCTGGAACTGGAGGCAACACTCTCGGCTTGCCGATCATCGGCAGCTGGGCTTGACGGCATTCATATTCATGTGTAAGTAAGTTATTCATGTATACATAAATCCAGTTACATAGATTATCATACATAGCAGCATATGTGTAGAGAACCTAGGATAACCCAAAAAAGTCAGACAGAGTGACTTATTTCCATTTACATCAGTCAGCCCTTGCTGTCCTCTTACAACTCTAATCTTATTTGGTTGCAAGGAGTTCTTCCCCAGCTGTGGAAATCTGCCATTGTTCTCCCTTTCTGCAAACTGGATACTACGGGACATGATGCCTCCCACTACCATCCCGTTGCTCTAACTAGTGCAGTTTGCAAGATAATGGAGCGTCTGGTAAATAGACGTTTGATGTGGCATTTAGAGACACAGTAGTCTCTCCACTAGTCAATATTGCTCTCGTAAGGGCCGTTCTACTACTGACCCCTTACTATGCTTGGATACGTATGTTCGTAATGCCTTTGCCAATAACCACTCAGTTATCGCCATCTTTCTTGACCTTAAGAAGGCACATGACACAACTTGGAGGTATTACATCTTGGTGCAGGCCCACTCCTTAGGCCTCCGAGGCAATCTACCTTTTTTCCTTAAGAACATCTTGAGAGATATTTCTGTGTTCGGGTTAATAATATGCTTTCCCCGGACTTTGTCCAAGCTAAAGGTGTCCCCCAGGGAGGTGTGCTGAGCACAATACTTTTTCTCCTTGCTATAAATGATCTGGCATCTATTCTTCCATCTAATATTTGGTCATCACTGTATGTTGATGACTTTGGTATAGCTTGTGCAGACTCTGACTGTCACCTCATTGCAGTTTTCCAGAATGCAGTCAACCGTGTTACCAACTGGGCCACTGCTCATGGGTTTAAATTTTCTAGTATTAAAACCCACCAAATTACTTTCACTAGACGCTCTGTCATCTCTTATCATCCATCGTACCTATATGGCTCGCGTATCTCAGAACGTGATACAATCTGGTTTCTCGGCCTTCTGTCTGACCATCTGTTATCCTGGAAACTTCACATTACCTCTCTGAAGGCAACTTGTCATACGGCTGAACCTCCTTGAAACCCTCACTCATCTTTCATGGGGGCTGATCGTAGAACTCTCCTTTGACTACATTCAGCCCTAATTTTATCGAAACTCGATTATGGCGACCAGATATATTCAGCGGCCTCTCTTGTAACTCTTTCTAGCCTTGATCCTATCCATCACCTGGGATTACATTTATGCCTCGGTGCTTTTCACTCTTCACCGGTTGAGAGCCTCTATGCAGAGGCGAATATTCCACCCTTGACCGATCGCCGTGATGCTCATTGCCTTCGGTAATATGTTCGCTTTCAAGACCTCCGCAATCCTTCCATATATAAGTTAGTCATTGATGTTAGTTGACGTTCTTTATTTGTTCGTCGCCCCTGTTTACTCCATCCTTCTCTTCGCCTACATTCGCTCTTGTCTTCTCTTCATTTACCACCTTTCTTTCTTCATGTAGCATCTCACTTTTCCTTACCCCCTTGGGAAATTCCGACTGCTATGCGCGAAAGCCCAACTGCCTACGGTGGCTTCTCGCTCTCTTTTTTCTTAACCACTTCCAATATCATTCTCATGCCATCACAGTGTACACCTATGGTTCCAAGTCTTCTGACAGCGTCGGATTTGTAGCAGTGTTTCCGGACAGTGCCGTGCAAGGATATTTATTATCCTCGGCTAGCATTTTTGCGGCTGAATTGTATACCATTCTCGTAGCACTTATCTGTATTGCATATATGCCTTTGTCATCATTTTTGGTCGTTTCAGACTCGGTGCTTAACAGGCTATAAGAAAATTGGATACACCTCATCCCCTGGTTCTCTGTATACAGCTTTGGTTACTCCATATCTCTAGCAAGCACAAAGATATTGTTTTTTGTTGGGTCCCCGGTCATGTTGACGTCCAGGGCAATGAACAGGCAGACACTGCTGCGCGGTCAGCAGTACATGACCTCCCGGTTTCACATAGAGGTGTTCCATTCACAGACTATTTTGCTGTAATTACTACCCACCTTCACACCCGTTGGCAACAACGTTGGTCTGATCTGCTACATAACAAACTACATTCTATTAAACCAAGTATAGGTTTCTGGCCATCTTCTTGTTATTAGTGTCAAGGTTGGGAGACTACTCTCTCCCGTCTTCGCATCGGCCACACTCGTCTCACTCACGGGTATCTCATGGAGAGGTGCCTTATTTCACTCTGAAAACTGCCAGGTTCCAGTTTCTTTTAGCCATATTCTGTTGGACTGTCCACTTTATCAATGAGCACGCAGAATTTACCTCCAACGTCGTCACCACTCTACTGCCCTTACTTAATCTTCCCTTCTTGCTGATGGACCCTCCTTTAACCCAGACTCTCTCGTTGACTTTTTGACAGCAACTGATTTACTGCACAAACTCAGATGATGATGATGCCTCTAGTACTCCTCACAGCCCTTTTTACCTCAATCTCTTGCTATCCTCTACCCCTGCACTATCCACTGCCCCGCTGCTACTCCATGACCTAATAATAATCCCTCTCCCTCTTGCTACCCAATACCCCTGCACCATTCCCTGTCTTGCTGCGCTGTATGACCCCTGTAGGTTTAGCGCTTCTTTTGATTATAATAATAATTAGGTATTGATGTTTCTGCTCAGTTGTCTCGCCGTGGTGGATTACTGATGATCTAGATCCTGCATCTCTTGTTTTCTCGGACAGGACAAGAATCTCTTGACTTTCACAGCTCCCGAAATTCCTGACATTTCTTCCACATGTATTGTTATCTACTATAAGCTAGTTTGTTACGCGTGTGTTTATGTTGCGGAAATTTCCTCCATTTGAAATATAACGAAAGAGAAAACTTAGTGATTCGTGAGTTCAACGAGATCCTTTTTAATGATGACCACCCACACCAAATTCCTCTCGATGTGGCCTTCATCCCCCCCCCCAAAAAAGTAATTTGATGAATTCATTAGATAGGTATATCATTTACCTTTGACTAATCTTTGTCAGAATATAATTCTTGTGTAATCTGAAGCTCTAATCTTAAGACAAACTACAACACTAACATCGCTATCTGCTCTCAAATCTTTATATTTTCATGATGTTATTATTCAGTCTTTTATAAATAATGAACCACGTCCCTACCATTGAAAGTAATTAAAGAAAGAGATTTTTGTTTTTCCTATTAGTTACAATTTTTGTCTTAATAATCAAGAAAAGATGAATATGACGGTTTAAGAATCATGTCTGAGATGTAATACTTTAACAGCAAATAGCACAGGTGACCATCCAGTGATATTATAAAACTACAAATATAATGAATATTGAACTATATGTATATAAAATTTTTATGTTTCATGATGTTCTTGTAGCTGAACTCGGATGTTAATCCCACATTTTTTTTTAAATATCCTGTGTAGACCAGTAATTATGTATGAAGTGAAATAATTATGAGACACTTTTAAGACAAGTCAAGCTAAAAGGCTGAGGTACCTGACTGCTCCATGTAGAGAAGAGGTAAGTCCTGGGAACATCTGGTCCGAGACACTCAAGAACAAAGAAGGCAAAATCGGGGGAAAGATGTGCCCTGTTATAAAGACACATGTCGGTAGTATTGTCAGCCTCCAGGCACGACAAACACTCTGGCAGACGAAGCATCGGTGACGACACATCTGCCACACGGAACAGATGACGTTCTCCAGGTTTCTCCTCCATTGTTGCCATGTAGTAGCTGAGGTGGAAGAGAATAATCATACACAAATAACCCGGACATAGGAGAGACATGACGTCTCGGTCCGACTTGGACCGAGTCAATTGAATGTGGTGACGTTCTGGAGGTGAATTATAAAAAAGTATGACAGAAGAGACTAAAATATGATAAACCAAGCCAAGTAGTGATGCATAAAATAAGGGAGATACTGCATATAAATACACCTTTGTTCTTATTATTTATCTGTCCTAATGTTCTTTTAACCAATTTGAAAGCTTAGCAATTTAATGAAAATTGTCAGTGATTGAAAAACAATAAAATTATGTAATTCAAGAATATAGGATGTAAATGGGGTGCTAAAAATATCTAGCCTAGAAAAGACTCGTAGCAATGGTTTTAAGTTGGAAAAATTCAGATTCAGGAAGGATATAGGAAAGCACTGGTTTGGTAATAGAATTATGGATGAGTGAAACAAACTCCCGAGTTCCGTCATAGAAGCTAGGACGTTGTGTAGTTTTAAAAATAGGTTTGATAAATACATGAGTGGGAGTGAGTTGGACCTGACTAGCTTGTGCTACAAGGTCAGATGTCGTACTCCTTCCTAAATTGAATCTGACCTGACTAGGTTAAGGCATTGACTTAAGCCGGTGGGAGAATTAGACCTGCCTCGCATGAGCCAGTAGACCTGCTGCAGTGTTCCTTCTTTCTTATGTTCTTAAAAACAGCACAGGTACATGTAAGCACACACAAAATGCACAACTGTCTGCCTGATATTATATACGAGCCGCAGCAGCACCAAGAAAATGCAAATTCAGATTTCACACATAATGGGAATTACTTGAACTATTTAGGGAAGTTCACAAATTAGTTTCATAATAATTTATGTTTCACACTACCTGATCATTTTGTTTTTAGCATCTATATAAATTTTGTTTTAGAAACTTTCTCTCTTTTGATATTTGTTTGGTTGGTGTGAAGAGTAATATTTCTCTGTAAATGTAATAATAAAGGAAAATATCGTATAAAAGTTGAAACAATTAGCAAAATACATAAAAAGACAACAATTTAACATTAACATTTGGATAGACAGTCAGGTTAATGCCAGTGAGGCTACTCTCAACATACCATCTTAAAATCCCGTGATGCTACACGGGGTTTTGGAGAATTTTTATTAATCTATCAGCCCATCCTCGTAATCGACGTCAATATATCACTTCTGACAAGCTAGGAACATCAAGTCACGTGTGACAGACACCAGAATGAAGATGTGATTAATGGAGTGAATCTAACATTCCCTCGGTGAGTCTGTCTTCAGTTCTTGCTTCGGTCTATCACTTTTATGTTTCATTGCTCTTATAGCCGTTATACGTATAATTACATTTTGGTTATAGATCACAATCTTACGTAAATAACGTACACCGAGAAATTAACTGGAATATACGAGAAATCGACATTTGCTTCAGGAGGAAAAGTTGAAAAGTTGAAGACTGTGATTCACGGAATAAGCAGAGAAGTTCGAAATTTCCTTGTATAACACACGACACAACCAACACTGAGTGTAAAGGTAAGTTAATGTGAGGAACCTAACGTCTGGATATCCTGTCACGCACCTGACTCTGTACCTGCTTACTTTCCGATCTTCCCTCCCAATCATAAAATAATCTTCCTTGATTTCATTAGCACTATTTTCACACCTTGACTCTACTGTCTTACCATATATTTTTCACCATTTTTTTTTCTCTAAAAATAGTCTTATCAACATAATTTACTAATGACAACCATTTTTTTGCGCTCCATCATTCCTTTTTTTAACTTTTGTTCATTTTCATTTAAACTGATTTACTTCTATAATGTAGGCAGGAGACTGCTGCACCTCTCCTGCCTACGGTATATAAGCTACTTCTCCGCACATATGCTGTATTCTTTTCAGGATTGATGGACTGATCACATCGACTCAAGGCTGAGGGACTAATTACCTCAAACTCCTTCTGTTCTTCACCATTCTCCTTTGTATGGACTGATGAAGCCACTGTGTGGTGAAATGTTTCATCATTAAAGATACCCAAGTGTTGCACATGTGTCTAATTTGTCAACTTGTCGGTTCTCTGAACCATTCATCTACATTCAGCCCTACTAACTTTCTTAGTTCATACTTCTACTACCCCTTCTTAGTTCATCTTCCTACTATCCTTCTTAGTTATTCCTTCTACTACCCTTCTTAGTTCATCATTCTTCTACCCTTCTTAGTTCATCCTTCTACTACCCTCCTTAGTTCATCCTTTTACTACCCTTCTTAGTTCATCCTTTTACTACCCTTCTTAGTTCATCCTTCTACCACCCTTCTTAGTTCATCCTTCTACTACCCTTCTTAGTTCATCCTTCTACCACCCTTCTTAGTTCATCCTTCTACTACCCTTCTTAGTTCATCCTTCTACCACCCTTCTTAGTTCATCCTTCTACTACCCTTCTTAGTTCATCCTTCTACCACCTTTCAAACGTAGATATCAGGGAACTTCAGGAGGATTTAGACAAACTCTATACCTGGTCAGCAAAGTGGAAGATGCAGTTCAATGTAGATAAATGCAAGGTTCTGAAGCTCAGGAGTGTCCAAAACCCTAGCACTGATAAGTTAAATAATGTAGAACTGAGCCATACAGATTGTGAAAAGACTTGGGGGTTATGGTAAGCATCAACCTTAAACCAAGACAGCAATGCCTAAGCGTACGTAATAAGGCAAATAAATTATTGGGATTTATATCTAGAAGTGTAAGCAACAGAAGTCCAGAGGTTATACTGCAGCTTTATACATCATTAGTAAGGCCTCACCTAGATTATGCAGCTCAGTTCTGGTCCCCATATTACAGAATGGACATAAATTCGTTAGAAAACATTCAGTGTAGAATGACTAAATTAATACATAGCACAAGAAATCTTCCTTATGAAGAAAGATTGAAGACTTTTAAATTACATTCACTTGCTAGACGAAGAATGAGGGAAGACATGATCGAAGTGTATAAGTGGAAGATGGGTATTAATAAAGGGGATATTAATAAGGTCTTGAGAATATCTCTCCAAGAGAGAACCCGCAGTAATGGATTTAAATTAGGCAAGTTTAGATTCAGAAAGGACATAGGAAAGTATTGGTTTGGAAATAGGGTAGTTGATGAGTGGAACAGTCTACCTAGTTGGGTTATTGAGGCTAGGACTTTGGGTAGTTTCAAATTTAGGTTGGATAAATATGAGTGAGAGGGGTTTGATCTGAGTGGGACTTGCAAATGAGTGGATAGAGTTACCAGACCTTATGTCTTGGGTAGCATTGAAAATTAGGTTGGGTAAATGTTTTGTTAGTGGGATAGATTGTAAAGGACCTGCCTAGTATGGGCCAACAGGCCTGCTGCAGTGTTCCTCCTTTCTTATGTTATGTTCATCCTTCTACCACCCATCTTAGTTCATCCTTCTACTATCCTTCTTAGTTCATCCTTATACCCTCTTCGTTCATCCTTCTACCACCCTTCTTAGTTCATCCTTCTACTACCCTTCTCAGTTCATCCTTCTACCACCCTCCTTAGTTCATCCTTCTACTACCCTTCTCAGTTCATCCTTCTACCACCCTTCTTAGTTCATCCTTCTACCACCCTTCTTAGTTCATCCTTCTACCACCCGTCTTAATTCATCCTTCAACCGCTCTCCCACAACCACTCTCCAACAACCTCTCTCCTACAGCCACTCTCCAACAACCACTTTCCTAAAATCACCCTCTTACAACCTCTCTCCTAAAACCACTCTCCTACAACCATTCTCCAACAACCACTCTTCTAAACTCTTCAAATAACCACTCTCAAACAACCACTCTCCTACAACCACCTTCCTATAACTACTCTCCTACAACCTCCTACACTCTCTTACAACCATCCTTCTCCAACAACCACCCGCCTACAACCACTCTCCAACACCACCCTCCAACAACCACCCTCCTACAACCACTTCCTTCGACCATCCTCCAATAACCGCCCCCTACAACCACTATCCAACAACCACCCACCAACAACCACCCTCCAATAGCCAACCTCTACAACCACCCTCCAAATAACCACCCTTCAACAACCATTCTCCTACAGCCACCCTCCTACAACCACCACACCAACAATCACCCTCCAACACCACTCACCAACAACCACCCTCCAACAACCACCCTCCCACAACCACTCACCAACAACCATCTCACAACCACTCTCCAAGAACCACTCACCAAAAACCACCCTCCCACAACCACTCTCCAACAACCACTAACCAACAACCGCCCCCCAACAAGCATTCCTCCCACAACCACTCTCCAACAACCACCCTCCAACAACCACCCTCCCACATCCCCCTCCACAATCACTCTCCAACAACCACTCCCAAAACCACCCTCCCACAACCACTCTCCAACAACCACTCACAAACAACCACCCTCCCACAACCACTCTCCAACAACCACTCACCAATAACCACCCTCCCACAACCACTCTTCAACAACCACTCACCAACATCCACCCTCCCACAACCACCCTCCACAACCACTCTCCAACAACCACCACCAACCACCCCCCACAACCACTCTCCAACAACCACTCTCCAACAACCACCCTCGCACAACCACTCTCCCAACCACTCACCAAAAACCACCCTCCCACAACCACTCTCCAACAACCACCCTCCACAAGCACCCTCCAACAAGCACCCTCCAACAACCACCCTCCTACAACCACCCTCCAACCTCCCTCCAACAACCACCCACCAACAACCACTCTCCAACAACCACCCTCCCACAACCACTCTCCAACAACCGCTCACCAACAACCACTCTCCCACAACCACTCTCCAACAACCACTCTCCCACAACCACTCTGCAACAACCACCCACCAACAACCACCCTCCTACAACCACTATCCAACAACTACCCACCAACAACCACCCTCCAATAACCAACCTCCAAAAAACCGCCCTTCAACCATTCTCCTACAACCACCCTCCTACA